TAGACGAGACTACAGTTCCAGTTACATTATTGTTCTGAAAACAATTCACTTCAAGCCTACAGGTTCACTATTCACTTCAAGCCGTACTCCAGAAGAGTAAAAACTAACGCTATTTACATCCACTTTATCTCTTTCATTCCCTCTCTTTCATTTCACTACCAGCTTACTTTTCAACACATGTGTACTTTTTGGCTTGTCAACGATAAGAGTTTTTTTTCGCCCAAAAATTAAATCACACACATATACAGCACACATGCATAGAAAAAAAGTCAAACAGAAAATCCTTATTTTAACATAAGTGTAACAACTATTATACAATTTAATATCCAAACCAAAATTAAAAGGATTATGTAGCATTATCCTCTAATTTATTTATTTGATAAAGTTTTATATGTTTTTTTTCTGCTGTCATGCTTAACTTTTTTCTCTCTATTTCACTGTAGCATTTACGATTTGTTTTTTTCTGCTCATTTCAAATAAGTTTTTTGTGGGGATTATACACGTACAAAAACATTTCACTAATAAAAATGTACATTTACTAATACATTTATACTTATATAAATATGTACATGTATGTATGTATATGCCTTTTTGTTCATATATACTTATATATAATATGAATATTATTTTTTTTTTCTACTTACACACATACTTAATCATATTTGTATTTAGTTTTGTTTTAAAAAAATTATATAGTTTTTATTTATTTAGTTTTATTTTTTGCAAATTATGATCTCGTATGTTTTTTCTACATATTTATTTAAGAAACAAATGCTAAATTACAACTTTTTCCTCTCTTTATGCAGATAAAATTGTTTGTGATTTAATTCTTGTTTTTAAATAAATCAAGGTAAATTTTAGAAAAAAAAGTTTATGGCAAAATCCTTATAATTTTTTTTATGTAGCAATGAAAGTATTACAAAACATTTTTCAACTTTTTTAATTCAATGCTAGTTGAAATGTTTCAAATGGAAAAAGTGGGGGGTTCGTTTGCAAATGTTTTTTATAACTTTGAAAAAAAGTGGAGTTAATTTCTAGGGTAAATTTTATTTCATTTAAATGATTTTTATAATTAAATGTGTTCATATTATTACATATATAATAAGAGGTTATAGCCGAGTTCTAGTGTTACACTGTATAAAGATACATATATAAGATATTGGTAAGGAATTATTTCGGTCATTTATTCTAGATAATAGTACTTAGCTATAGTCGGGGCCATTTTTCAGACTACCATTCAGGCTGCTTTCCAGACTGTATTTCAGACTATAGTCTATATTATAGTCTAGAAAATAGTTTATTCAAGAGTCCAGAATATAGTTGTGTAGTTCAGAATATATAGTGTGTAGTTCAGACTACAGTCCATATAATTAATCAGACCTTACTGAAGAATATCATCCAGACTATACTTTATTATATTTATAGTGAAGACTGATGTTCTAACTGATGTCAGAATTTAGCTTACATTAAAGTTCTGTTTAGACTATAAGCCAGACGTTTTAAGGTTATAGAATAGATATTAGTTCAGCCTATAGTAATGGCAATATTTCAGGCTATAGTCCATACAATATTTCAGACTATAATCAGATTATATTAAATACTATAGTTCAGACTAAACTACAGATTATAGTTGGGATTACAGTTCATAATATGCATAGTTCAGAATATACCCCAAACAATATTTCAGACCATAGTCAAAACTAAAGTTCTGGGATTTTAGTTTAGACATTATTTGAGATTATTGATCAGACAATATTTCACACTTTAATAATATTATAGTTCAGACTATAGCCCAGAGTATAGTCCAGAACTTCAGTTCAGGTTTTAGGTTTCTAACTATAGGCTATAGTTTAGGACTATAGACAAGATTAAAGTATAGACTATACTATGGGCCAAAGCTCAGATTATAGTCCAGGCTATTGTTCAGATTTTAGTTCAGACTTTAGTATATACTATAACCCAGACTATAATCCAGACTATATGAGTTTTTGACTTGGAAGCCGACAACTTATAACAACTTATATGTAGTTTCGGACTATAGTCAAGACTAAAGTTTAGACCATATTATTGTTAATATATTAGTTCAGACTTTAGTTCATTCTATAGCCCAAACTATAATCCAGACTATATGAGTTTTTGACCGTATTATAGGCCAATATAGGTCCATGCTATTGTTCATATTTTAGTTCAGACTTTAGTTCATACTATAGCCCAGACTACAATCCTGACTATATGTGTTTTTTGACTAGGAATCCGACAACTTGACGGACTATACTCAAAACTAAAGTTAAGACTGTATTATAGGCCAAAGCTCAGATTATAGTCCAGGCTATTGTTCAGATTTTAGATCAGACTTTAGTTCATATTATACCATACAGTTAAAGCTGTAGTCTAGACTGTAGTCCAGACTCTTCTCTAGACTATAGTCCCGACTATTGTGTATACTGTAGTCCAGAATATATGTAGTTTTGAACTAAAGTCAAGAATAAAGTTTAGACTATATTATAGGCCAAAGCACAGATTATAATCCGTTCATACTATGGCCCAGACTATATGTAGTTTTGATTAGGAATCCCACAACTTATATCCAGGGTCCAAGCTTTTATCTAGACTGTAGTCCAGACTATTGTCCACACTCTTGGGAAGACTTTTGTTCATATTATTGTCAAGATTGTACTGCAGTCTATATGTAGTTTAGAGTAAAAACCTAAAAACTTATTTCCAGGATATTGTATGATTTAATGATATTCTGTTTATATTCCCCGGATTTTATAAAAATTCTGTCAAACAGAATAATGTTTCTCCATCCATATTAGTCCATCCATCAAAGTTTTGAATAAATGAGAAAAATGTCCGTCCATCTTCCAGTAAAAATAACAAATATAAAATATATGAAAATATTTAAGAACCCAAATTAAAAAGAGAACAATATATTTAGGTTAAAATATTAAAAAAAATCAAAATCAATTAATTTCAAATGATTAATATTTCTTATAAACCTAAAAATTCTTAGAAAAAATACATATATAATTCTTAAAATACTTACAAATATAATTCAAACATTTACCAACATAAAAACATGAATAAGTAATCAAAAGCAAATTGCAAACATTTTCTAAATCTACTCAAAAATAACAACAACAACAAAAAAATGGTACCCAAATCAATAAAAAACAAACAATTCCAGAAAATCAAATTAATTAATAAATATAATAAAAAAAAGAGGAAACATTAAAAAAACCAATTTGTTTGTGTATTATTAAGTGTAAATTTTAGTGCTTTTTGCTTAGAGAAACAATAAAAAAAAAATTTATGAAGGGGAATATTAAACGTATATAAAAATTTTTTTGATTGTAGAATATTTGTCAATATTTAGAATTTAATGGTGAATAAAGAGTGAGAAGAGTTTTATTTTTAATATTAGAGGAAAATTTTGGTGAATTTGTACAATTATTTATTTTTTGGTAAATATTTTTTAATTAAAATTTATTGTAATAAAATTTGTTTGAAACTAAACACACACGCATTTTAAAAAAATTTTAGAATTTAATTTAAATAAAATTTTTAAATATAGTGTTAAAGTGTGTTAATGTGTGTGTGTGTGTGTAAATGACAATACCATGTAAAGGTTTAACGTAAAAGAAAACTAAAATTTTTACAATTTTTAAGTGTTAAATGTTTTTAAAAGTGTTTGTTTATTAGTGTGTGCAATTGTTAAAGGATTTTTTTTGTTGTTTTTTTTATTTAATCTTTCAAACGGGATGTTCTACAATATAAAATTAATGCAATTTAAATGGTGTGTACATTTTTTGTTAATTTCTTATTTGATTTAAATTGTTGGTATAATTCTATGAATATGTTAAAGGACGAGTGGTCTTTTTTTTAAGGTGAAGGAAATGAAAATTTTTCTTCTCTCACTCTCTCTCTCTCTCTTTCTTTCTACTGGTTGTTAAAACAAGATTTATTGAAAATAATATTTTAAAAATGTGTTTTATTCAAAATTTAACTAACTTGCTAAATTTTTCTTAAACTTAAAGCGTTTTGCAGGATTTTGTTAAAAAAAAATTTTGAATTAAAAAATTCAAAATTTAATCTCAAATTTATTGTCATTGAAGCCTGGCTAATAGAAGCTGTATTGAAAATTGTTGTTGTATAAAAGAAAGTGTAATTTGTAGGGTATTTTTTTAAATTATAATTAAAATTATATTATTCTTGTATTTTTGTAAATAAAAAGCCTTAAGTAAAAGCTTTATTAATAAAGAAAATTTTTAATAAAATTAATCCAAAAGTTGCTTAAAAATCTTTTATTTGAGATTTTTGTTTAAAGCAACTTTTTTTAAAAAGTTTTTCTTATAAAAACCAAACTGAACTAAACACAAGGTAATTGAAAATATTTGAAAATAATGGCCAATAACAATCAATACATTACACAAAAAAATCCATAAACTATAAAATAATCAAAATTGTTTTTTTTTTTTTTTTTTTGTTTTTTTTAACAATAAATTCAAACAATTACTTTTTACTCTACTACCAATTTGTTATATAAAAAAAACTTAAATTTTCATACTTTTAAATTAAAACTGTTTAAGTTTTTTTTTTATTATTTTGTTTTTTGAATACTTTATGTTGTTGTTTTTCAAAATCACAAATACTCACAGTATGTGTTTTTTTTTTGTTAAAAAAAAATTGGAAATTATATGGTAAAATGTAATAACTTTTTGCTTTTTCTTTTTAACAAATACTAAACGTTTGTGTTTTTTTATTTAACAAACTTTTAATACAAAATTTGTTTCTTTTTAAGTTTTAAAGAGATCAACACAAACGTCTTTCTTGTTTTTGGTTTTTTTTTTTTGGAGTTTAAGTTTTTGGGAGGAGTTTCGTTTCGTTTTATTCTGAATTTGTTTCTTATTTTGTTTTATTGTCTGACGCTTTAATAATAATATAAAAAAGAGAGTTTAGAGAAGAAATATTATTTTGTGATATCGTACCGTTTCGCTCACCTTCTTGTCCCACTGTAGGACGTACGGGACTGGATGATCATTGGGAAATTCAACGTGACAATTGAAGATGACACCTTCACCGAGTATGGCTGTGATATGGACAGCATCTTCTGTAATTATTTAAAAGAAAAAACAAATTTATTAAGAATTGTTATAAATTTAAGTTAAATCTAATAATTTTAGTAAAACAATTTAAATTTTGCAAATTTTTTAAACCAGATTTTTAAGATTGAAATACATTATTTTTTTTTATTAATATTTTTTATTTCTTATAAATTTCTTTAAAATTTTTAACATAATATTTTGTCTAGGCTGGCTACACATACATATGTTTTTTGTTACTTGTTTTTCTAGTTCTTTTAAAAGCAAAAAAAAAAAATCCTTAACATTTTGCTGAAATACCCTTAGGATTTCTTCAATGTTTGTATGTTGGAAAGGATTCTTTATGAACAAGTAGTTTATACTTCATCTAGCAGTGAATGAACTTTTTCTAAAGAAATTTTTTTTTTTCAAACTTAAACTCGCATGTAATGCAACCAATATATAATCATAGTATATTCTGGATGTTTTATGAAACTTGGTAAAAGCAGTACAGTAACTTTTTATACCGTACACCACTTTAGTGGGGAGGGTTTATTGGGTTTGTGCTGATGTTTGTAACATACAAAAGTATTCGTCCTATACCCACCTTAAAGTATACCAATCGGCTTAGTCGATTCTGAGTCGATTAAGCTATGTCCGTCTGTCCGTCCGTCCGTCTGGCTGGCTGTCCATGTAAACCTTGTGCGCAAAGTACAGGTCGCAATTTTCAAGATAATTGGATGAAATTCAGCACAATAAAATATTATGTACATATAAATATATTCACAATATATTATGTACATATAAATATATTCAATTTTTATCAGGCTTGGTCCATATTTGCCCCAAGCCCCCATATAAAGCCTCTTTCAGAAAATTAGTTTTTCATCCATAAATTTCTTAAATGTATCGGAACAAGGTAATGGAAGATATATGCTTTATTATGAAAAATAAATCACATTTAATATTCATAACTGGTGTAGGGTATCACATGGTCGGTCACGCCCGACTATACTTTCTTACTTGTTTTATTTGCAAATAAACTTACACTTACGTTTATTTAGGAAATGTATTTTTTAAGATCTTCTTCGAAATCTTAACCATCAAAAGATATGCGAATAAATAATACAATTTCGTTGTTGGTACACAGAAAATTCAAACAACATATTGCAATTTTGAACACAATACAATGAAGTTTGTTGCACATACTATTACACCATGATGTACCCTATTGGTTTTGGTTAATATTGGTCTATTATTTCACTTTATTTAGATTGGCAAAGGAAATCTCTGGTAAAAATCGTTTCACAGCTTACCCCCGGAAGGACTCTATGGACGTTATTACGTCATCTATAGATCGTCAATTGGAAATATGGAACGACTACTTTGCAGACACATTATCAACACCACAACCCACCAGAACGCTGAAATGTCAATGTGTAACTCAACCTACTACCGTTGACATAAATATGGCCTGACCTGAAGAAGCGGAAATAGTTAATGCTATAAAAGCGCTAAAAAATAGTAAAGCACCAGGTGCAGACAACATCAACCCGGAACAGCTTAAAGCCAATTCCCGTCTTAGTGCCAGGATAATACGACCCATCATTGAAAACTTCTGGACCTCACATACACTTCCACCTGAGCTTAATAATGGGATAATAATAAAGGTACCAAAATAGGGTTACCTGACGGAATTTCGAAATTGGTGGAGCATAACATTATTACGAATCATTAACAAGGTACTGGCATATATCATTCATAACATATTTCCAACTTCGATCTGAACAGGCCATCATCGATTACGTATGGACCATGTCAACAGCCTTCGAATTATTGTCGAACAATCGGTGGATTGGTGATCCCCTTTATATTTCGTATATATTTATAGTCTTTGCCAAAGCAATCGATTCCATCCACCAGCAGGCTATTTGGCAATCGCTGCAGTGCAAAGGAGTTCCACGTGAATTTATTGATCTCATCCGTGCTTTATATCGGGATTCTACATGTATGATGTTACATGAGTGCAATCTAGGAAGATTCTTTAGTATTAACTCTGGTGTTCGACAAGAATGTGTTCTATCTCCTTTATTATTCAACATAGTACTTTACGTTTTAATGCAAAGGGCAATCAGAATTAGAAGGAGCATCACTTGAGGCCTAACTGGGCGTCTTGATGAACTAGACTTGGCCGATGACATATGTCTTCTATCCCACACATACAACGATATGTCAGCCAAACTAAAGCAAATACATGCCATTGCAGGTGATGCTGGTTTACATGTGAATATAGTGAAAAATAAGGTTCAGCGTCTGAATACCATCAACCCTCGAAAATTCCAAATTTACAACGTTGATCTTGAAGATGTCCAATCTTTTATAAATATGGGTGGTGTTATATACCATCTAAATTCATCTAAGAAATAAACTCATCCAACGTTCGTTCTGTGCTGCTATATGGATGGGAATGGGATAGAATGGAATCCTCAGGGCAGTAGAAGAAGAGCTAGACCCGCCCACACCTGGAGAAGCAAATCGAAACGGAGGCGAACTCGACTGGAAAGAAGTGAAGCTGACAGCACAGAATAAATCAGAATGAATACATTTTGTTGTGGCCCTTTGTTCCATCTTGGAACCATAGGAATCAATATACATATATTTCACTAATCCCCATACGACCGGAACAGAGTCTTCAGAAATATGATTTCAATATATACAGACGGACACAGATTAATCGACTCCGTTAGCAATAAGCATTCTTAATAGTTATACTCTGGTAGCATGGAAATCGTTGGCCGTCGACAATACGAACTTTGTCTTGTGCCGGTTTTTAGAGCAATATCTTCAGGGTGCAAGTAATAGTTGTCTTTGAAACTCAAATTGCTGTAAGAAAATTTTGGTTTAAAGACTGTGAGACTAAATGCCGATAATAAAAGTGGTATAAGATGGGTTGAATGGTGATGGATGTACGACATGTATTCTTCTTGTGTTATCGATTGAATTCCCTTCTTTGTCCTGATATAAATATAACAGACATAACACAGTATGTCCCCTTTGAATAAGAACTTTGGCTTATTTGATGGATTCGTAATTTAATCTACTTATAACGTCTATTGCCAAATTAACTGAATTTCTTAGTTGTTAACGGAAGTGAGGCTTCTAAAGTATCTCGAAAGTTATGCAAAGGGTTGCGTTTGATCAAAGATTAGATAGCTCAAGTATTCTAGTAAAGATCTTAGATATCACAAGGGGCAATTGGTGGTTCGTCTTTAGCACGCCCTGTAGTTGAAACATACTATCCTGGAATAAGGCCGGCAAGGCAGTTATATACGTAAAACACTACAGTTTCATAACTTCTAACAAAGGATAATAATTATTAAAATTATGACATCTTAAAATAGAACTGTCAAACAACACATGGTTTTTTATACTTAAAAAAATCTATTGAAATAAAAATAATTTTAGTAATTAATTTTACTTAATTTCTTTCCATTAAATCCTCAAATATTTCACATTAAAATTCTTTTACTTCTTTTCAAAATGCTCACATCATTAAAACAGAAGAGCAAAAGTTTCGTTAATGTCAGTTTTAAAAACTTCATTTTTAAACAATTTAATTACTATTTAATGACATAAAATTCTTAAAATGTATATGTATGTACTTAATTCCTAACATAAAGCCCCATATACTAAAATATTTTCCGAGAAAAAAAATAAACACTGTATACTTATACTGTTGTATATATAGGAAAATAGAAAAAAAACTAAGTATGAAACTTTTTTCCTATAATAAGTCTTTTGCAAGCACTTAAAAAAGTTCATTATGATAACTTATGTCTACTTTTAACGCATACAATTACTGCATTATGAAAATGAACATACATACGCATACACATATGGTTATATAACCCAGAAGTTTTGGAAATAGTCATGGTTTCGTTGACTTGTATTTCTAAATTTCTGTGACTTTTAAAAAAGTAAATTAGTAAATTTGTATTATACATATAAAATAGTCAAAAGTCAGTCCTCAGTTTTAAATGTCCAAGCAGGTTTTTTCATGCTTTTCTCTCTACTAAAAACGTTAAAAAATGCCTACCGGAATCTATAGACTTCGAAGCGTAAGATTAACTGGATATTAAGTCGACGATGTTTGACACTCATTCTGCAATTACCGTTAAATTGCGGAGCATTTATTTACTACGAACTGCTGGGATTTGTAAGCTTCACATAACGTATACAAAATTCTATACAAAAAAAAAGCCCTAAAAGTATGCTATATGAAGATATGAAATTAAAAAAATATACATTAAAATACATACATAAATTTTATGTACATACACATAAGTAAATAACTGTACATTCACAAACAATTGTAAAACAGTTGAACATACCCAGTCAGTTCTTGGTTAATATAAGGTTGCGAAAACTATTTGATCAATAATATGGGCCTTTAAAAATGATATTAAAATTGATTCCCAAGAACAATTGCAAATAATCCAAATGTGTAAATAGTTCCAAACAATTCTGACTGGGTATTGTCATATTAATAACTGTAGCACCCTGTATTCAATGAAATACGTACGAATAATAATACTTAGTAACATGTGAAAGGGAAACATTCAAAATGTAAATATAGACGAATAAACAGTCAGTAGAATGATTTCCTATTTTTTTTTTTTTATTCTCAGAAAAAGCTTGAAAACTGGAGCAAGGGTTATTAAACGTTTTAGCTGTGTAGGCAGCACATTTGCAAAATATATTTAGTAAACAAATAAAAAATGAAATTTGTGATTTAAATTTGATTTTGATTTTGTTGTGGGTAGTAAATTTAAAAGTTCTTAACACGAAAATAAATTTCAGCAAAAATGTATAAGGGTGCTTAATGAAAATTCTGAGAATCGTAAGAATTCTGGAAATAAATTTCCCAAAAAAAATTTGTAATTGAAATTAAAATTGCCATATTTAAGAACAAAAGATATGTATCCCATACCTTTTTTAAGATTGGTCAGCTAAAAAGCTGATTACTTAC